ATGTTCTAATTGTTTAAACATTATCTAATATTTTTAATAATTTACTTGCAACTATTAAACGATAAATTCTCTTCATTAATGTTTCAAAGAGTAATTTAAAATTTTTAATTGATAATTTATAACAATCTGGAATAATGAATACTTAAGAAAAATGACTTTGAATTACTCAATGAAATAATTAATTTAATTGTTTAATTGTAATACGAAACTCGCGAAAATTAGTAAATAATGTCTAGATATATTGTAGAAATAAAATAATTTAATTGATTCAAAGGAATTGTTCAAATTATAAACTAATGCCTTTCGATATATTTTTGTGTATCATTTACCAATTTTAACTATTTACTTATAACAATTGAACCAGAGATTGAATTCCCAAACATTATTTCATAGTTTGAATAATTCATTTATAACAATTAAATTATTTTATTTACAATAACGGAAAAAACAATACACATAATATATATAATTCTTGCTCTTTGAAAGAATAAACGAGCCAAAATTTTTATGTGTTGCGCGATTATTCTATAACGACAATCACCGTTTAATTTAATTTTTGACTACATAATTTTTCTCTACATAAATTACTATTTAATATACATCGATGCAGTTATAATTTAAAAATTAATATCACGAAAATGCAAATTTAGTTTCAATCGATAAAAAATTTATAAATTATTACATTTAACATTGTAACATATTCATGAAAGTGTAACTTTGCAACAGAAATGTAAAAACTATTAAATTATTGATTAGTATAATAGAAAAACTGTTTTACGAAATTCTAAAAATAATTATCAACTGTTCCGGATCACTGACTACCGAAACATTAGATTAATCTTGGAGATATGGAGATTCATTATCAATTAAACTTTGGACGTGTTTTAGAAGTTTGAAAAAAAAGTTAACAACATTAGATTAACCTCGAGCGGTTTAGAGATCATTATCAATTAACCTTTCGATGTATACACAAAGATAAAATTTTAGAAGTTTGAAAAAAAAGTTGTAAACTGTACCTGATCACTGAAATATTATATAACCTTGAGTAGTACAGTGATTACCAAGACATTACATAGACACTCATTACCAAGTGAACATCCGTCGTGTGCACATCGGCGCAGCGGAGCACCGAGGACATCGTGGGATGCGTGGATCTTAACTTTAAGTTGCGTGCGCCTTAGCTCTAAGTTGCGTGCGTCTTAACTTAAGTTGCTTAACTTTAAGTTAAGTTTTAGTTAATCTCTGTAACTTCATTGTGAACGCATTCTGTACAAAGACACGTTTACTGAACTTGGGACGAAATTAGGAATCCCTCATCTCCTCCCTTCTTTCGTTCGTTGCTACTATTGTTACTTTGTCCGTTGCACTAGAGTCGGGTCTCCAAGGTTTGTAGCCAGTGTGCTGAATCGGGGAACTACAGCCACGTCCAAAAGGGCGAGGTGAGATACTTGTAGTCGAGCGTCCTTGGTAATTGACTCAGCGGTTCCGCGGAACCCCACTGGGTCGTTGAGGGTAGCGTTAGACTACTCGTCTCTAAATGCTCGAACCTCGATTCAGCACACTGACCTATTTTTTATGTTTTACTTGGTATAGTCACAGACGAGTTTTACATTTCAATATTGGACATTGGCAACACTATAGTGGACAAAAAATCATATTGCTAGCACATTCTCTAGTTCCTCATCTCACCGTTATTTAAACGTAGAGTGCGTTAAAAAAACAGTGATTTTTTTATTATGTCGGTGTTTCAGGTCACTAGCCACGAAATCCTGTAAGATGCTTGGTATATTCATATACCTCGTTTGTGGTAAGGTCTAGTCATATCTCGTCTGTGGCTTAGTCAATGATACAGTCAATGGCAGTATTAAATCGCAGAGGCCGCAAAGAATGGTCTTTTAAATGAATGTTTCAAATTTTATTGTTAGAACAAATAACACAAATCTTTTAAAATGAATGTTTCAAATATTATTGTTAGAACAAACACTACAATACATTGATACATCTATGGAATAAAAATCATTCTTGGAAGACTCTCCCAAAATCTAAAACTTAAAATCACATCTATTTCTGCAAATGACATCCCCAAATTCTTTAATTACGCTTTAGTATTTTGTTTATGATGCACAGAGTGCTGTACACTTAGAAATATTTTTAGTTGAAAATTTTTTGTAAATCGTAATTCAAATACATATTTTTAAGAATACGAACAAATTTATTATTCAAATAACATAGAATAAAAACTCGTTTTTTTCTTTTCCCTTAGATTGTTATATTTCATATTTCTATAAATGAAAGTTTCTATAATTACATGTATTTCAAATATAATTTTAGCTCTTTAATATCAAAGTATTAAGTTATAGACAAAAATTTTGATTAAAATTAGATATTCTGATCTTTGGGTGCTTTCCCAAACAATTTGAATAGTATTAATGAACAGCTAAATTTAATTAATGTGTATTGCTATAAATTTGAATTTGGATAACATTTTTACAAAGAATACTTCAAATAATGTCCAGATAGATACGCTATACTTCATACGCAGTAACTTTTATTAAACAGGTTCTTCGTTACATTGTGTTTGGTAGTTACAATACAAATTAGTTCCACGTTGGACATGAGTGCAAAGTAAGCAATATGGCTGCAAAGGAAAACAATCTTCCCATATTATACGGGGAATTAAATAAATTAGGTCAAAATGGTGAATACGAGCGGGCTATAAAAGTTGCTAATAAAAGTGAGTTTCCGCAAGTTTACGATTTTCCATTCAATTGTAGAAGTTTCTATCACCATAACCTATACTCTACTTACGAGAAATAACACACTCAAAAACAAAAAAAATTTTTACAGTCTTAGATACCTTCCAGGATGAAGAAGCAGCTTTCCATTGTAAAATTATTTGCTACATTCAATTATCGAAATTCAGCGATGCACTCCAATTTATTACTAGGAATCCAAAACTGGCAGTGTATGTTATTCACTTATATTAAAGTTATACTTATTTGATTAATACATTGCATAATTCTGATGATGAATGTTTTTCTCTACAGCAATTTAGATTTTGAGAAAGCATATTGTTTATATAGATTGAATCAAGTACTTGATGCTTTAAAGGTAGTTGAAAATGTTTCAAATCCTTCGTTGAAACTTAAGGAACTAAAAGCTCAAATACTATACAGGCTAGAAAAGTATGAAGAATGTTTCTCAGTGTACAGAGACATTATAAAGAACTCTCATGATGAGTATGAAGACGAAAGAGAAGCTAATCTTGCAGCAGTGGTTGTAAATTTAACAGTTGAGGGTTCTGTAAGTTCCTAACAGTCGACTTCATTCAAATATATCACAATTTATGTTTAGTTGAATTTACATTTCTTCTAATATAGAACTTAGAAGTTCCTGCATTACGCGAAGATACGTACGAATTAACGTACAATGCAGCCTGTCGTTTAATTGCACAAGGTAGCAAAGGTGATAAAACTACTTTAATTGAGGCAGAGAAGAAACTTAGAGTAGCTGAGAAAATGTGTAAAGAAGATTTAGAAGAAGATGGAGTTGGCGAGGAAGAAATAGAAGATGAATTGGGAATTATTAGAGTTCAACTCGGATGTTGTCTTCAACTTCAAGGTCGCGAAAAAGAAGCTCAAACGTTGTACCTTTCTGCTTTAAAAGCAAAACCCGATGACATAGCTCTAGTAGCAGTTGCGAGCAATAACCTTGTGTGCCTCAATAAAGATCAAAATGTATTTGATAGTAAAAAGAGGATGAAAAGTGCTACTCATGATAGCTTAGAGCATAAACTAACTTCTAGACAGAGAAAAAATATTGCATATAATCAGTGTTTGCTGGCTTTATACACTGATCAGGTATCTTGATTAGCAGTACAATATTTTATTGTATATACATATATTGTACATGTCGTTAGTCTATGTCTCATGTTCTTACAGGCAGAACATTGTCAACAACTTTGTAATAAACTAGTTAAGGATTATCCTGCACTGACTGTAGATGCAATGTTTGTTAAGGCAGTACAGCTTGGTAAAGAAGGTAAAGCAAAGGAAGCAGCAAAATTATTAATTCAGTATGCAGTTGGCGACAAAGAATTACAAATGAAATTGGTTTGTGTGCAACTTTTATTGAGTCAGGATGAGAGGCAAGAGGCAATCGATATTCTTGAAAATTTAAGTGAAAGAGACAAGTCATTACCCGGTATAGTTAGTACACTTGTAACACTTCACATGGCTGACAATAATCGTGAAAAGGCGTCAGCTGTCCTTAAAAATGCAGTCAATTATTACAAGAAAAATAAAGTAGGCACATTAATTTTTCTTTTTTTTTTCTTTAATTTTATTTAGCAACTTCTTTATTTAATATTCATTTTCAGGAAGCTACCGCCAATCTAGGAGAATTATGGCGGCAGGCTGCTGATTTTTATCTACGTGGAGGAGACATTAAAATGGCTGCTGATATTTTACAAGAAATGGTAGATGCTTCTCCTTGTGATACCAAGACGCTAGCGCAATTGGTGGTGGCTTATGTGCAGTTTTGTCCTGAAAAGGCGCAGTTACTATCAAAACGTTTGCCGCCATTACATGATCTCTCTGAAACAACCGATGTTGATGCTTTGGAAAGCAGTAATTGGGTAATTGGTACCAAAATGATCAAGAAAAAGATAGAACCATCTCCCGGGTGAGTATTCTTTTTTAAATATAATTTTGATAGTGAAATTAATATTACTCAATAAAACTCAAACTATTTCTATTTCACAGTAAACCTGTTGTCGATATAACACAAAAGAAAAAGAAAAAACGTAAACGCAAAGGAAAGTTGCCTAAAAATTATGATCCAAATGTTCCACCGGATCCTGAACGATGGTTACCTAGACACGAACGTAGTGGATTTAGGAAGAAACGAGATAGAAGAAATCGAGACGCTGCAATGAAGGGTACTCAAGGTGCTGCAGCTGGAGCTAGTGATATGTAGTACGTATTAAAATTACGTTTATTTTTTAATAAAAAAAAAGATACAATTGGTAATTTTTATTACCACTTATTATTACAGCGATATAACGAAAATGCCTACAAATGCAAAACCTTCTCCTAATCCTCGACATAGTCCAGCGGTAGAAAGTTCCGGTCCACGGCAACAACAACGTAAGGTTCAGCAGAAGAAGAAAAAGAAAGGTGGAAAGTGGTAAAAAGTCGTTTACGTTTGCATTGCATTCGTTTGAAATATGTATAGCACCTCTATATTGTTAAAACGAGGATTGATATGTCTCTTTAAGGGTTGAATAATTTTTTCGAGTATACACATATTTTTTATCACTGTACATATGTTCAGTAAAGAATACTGCCATTTTTAAATGAATGTACTACTTTATATCAATATCACTTGATCACTAAATTTTTAACTTCTGAACTCGATACCATTAAATTAAAATATAACTAAATTCTGTGTGAATTAAAAATAAATGACATACACGAAAAATATATGATATATAAAATATTTTTATTCTTTTTTTTAATCCTTTGTCAACCTTTGACAAAATTCGGCAATATAATATACAATATAGGTAACATATTTCTTGCATACATTGACTAGGATTTGGCGATACATATCTTTATTTCTCTGTTGGTAACAATTGTATATAAAAATACAATCTGTTTCGAATTCATATTTTTCTCTAGTAAATCTGTAATTCATGTAGATAGATCGTGATTGTGCGTCAAATTTTTAACATTTGTATGTAACAGATTTATATATGTATATATAATATAATAAGTGGCATAATTTGTAACTACATATTCGTAACTATACGTTGCGTATAATAATAAAATGCCACACAGTGTAATTTCAGTATAATTTCATCATCGTAAAATCATAACTCTTTGAAGATACACTTTGATTATATACCAATGTAGCATATCGATGTACGTGCACATGCGCGTGCTTATGTAAAAGGATATCTTCATTTTCTACTATTCTAACTTATTGTCTCGTACCATTGCACAACACAGTATTATTTATCATGTATATATAAATTTATAACAGAGGCAACTGTTGAGGTAAGAATAACCGTATATATCGTAAAATGCTTCTACATCTGTATTTTTCCCCCTTTTTTTTTATAAAGCTTCCTAATATAACAAGGCTGTAAATCACCCTTTAGACGTTTACTTAAAATACTTAATACCCTTCTGTTAGAAAATAGTACAAGAGGCACGCTCATTCAACTGGTCTGAATATTGTGATATGCATAATACGTAGAAAATAAACAAGCACTGGAAAATTCACTTTACCAGTCCTAAGCAAGTAGATCTGTTACTTGATAGTTTTGTCATGCCACACTCATCTATTGGCAAGCAATCGTCCCATGTTCCCAAAACCAATCGCCCAATCAGTTCGACAAAAATGAGTTTGTCAAAGATGAGAATAGATGAGTAAGGCACAAATCCATGTAAATGTCGTAAAACACTTACACAACGATGTAAATAATTCTTAATGTGTGAACATTATATTTTCAACAAATAATGCTACTTTTCGGGTATAATGCCCTCCCAGGCATCTTCTCGCTGTTTGTTGGCTAATCTACGTTTTTCTAGAAACAAAAAAAGAACATATCCTATTTTCATATTTTACGTCGGAAGAAACTTGCTGCGTAAATGACACCTACCTTTAGCCTCACGTAATATGTTTTTTTCATGTTCGCGTTCTTGTCTAGCAGTAGCTAATTTCACACCCAGAGCACCCGTAACCAATCGTCTCGCTAATGCTGCGCACGTTTCTGGACGACTTCTGTATGGCTGTAAAAATTCCGCGCTTCGTTTTGCCTTCGTTTTACTTAAGGCTGTGGCTTCGCTTAGAGGTCGTGTTTTAACAAACGGATGATCCGAAGCCAATACCTCGGCAGCTGAAACCGATTTAGCGAGTGAATACTTGTTAGTCGTGATGTTGGTGTAATTTTAACTCGTTTCTAATTACCAACAAGAGGACTACTGAAGACTCCGAGACAGTGTGTGTCATCTACCCACTTCAGTTCAAAGCCACCATTCTTGAAAGGACTAAAAACAGCTGCTAAGTCACTAGTTTTAAATTCTGATGGAAAATTGTAAATTTCAACAACGTGAGCAAATTCGTCGCTAGATACTTCGATGTGTTTAGTGTATGGCTTGTAATCACTTTTCGGTTGTTCTATCATAACATCACCAACAGCCGATGTTAACTAAAATTAAAAGTGACTTAATAAAACAATTTCATTCTTTTATGTTGATAGAAAATAAAATAATCTTGTGAATACTTGCCTCTTCGATAAGAGTTGGATCGAGACAATCACCATTGTCATCGAATAAACTGTCCCAATCACACTCGTCCCTATTTATTTTTTTAACTGGCGGAGAAGGTGGTGGTGCAGGTTTACTTTTCTGTCGTACAACTTTTTTCACTTTCTTTTCTGGCGATGCTAGAGGAACTGGAATAACTTCCTTAATAGGTTCTGGTTCTTTCTGTACAGTATCTGATATAATCAGCACGTTTGATACCATATTGCGACGCATCATTTGCACGTTCTTTTGATTCGTTATTTCGTCTTTGTTTGAGATCTCTGCATGTTTTTTATTATTTGCATCAGAGTTAATCATGATAATATCATCCTTATATTTATCAGATCTGTCTATTTCTTCATTAACATTAATCTCACTATATATACATGTTTCAACTGAGTCTAAGTTATTCTTATTTTCACTAGAATTTTCTTGCTCTTCGAGAGTTTCTGACTGAAATTCTGTATCAGTTATCTCACATTTAACTTCAGAAGCTAAACCAGCACTATTCGAATCATTTGGCACATCTTCATTTAAATTAAATAATTGCTCAATTGCTATTTCGTTCTTGACTTCCATTGTAGATTCTTCTGGAACGATCGAAGAAGTTATTTCCTTTGGATCTTCTTGATAAACGTTGACTTCAGAATCACTATTGGTTTGATTATTATCGAAGTACGTATTTGATCCCGTTTTTTCACATTCCATACTTTGCTGTACATCAACTTCACTGTCCATTTCTTTGACATTCGAACTTGATCTTGATTGTCCACAAAAAGCAGAGAGTAAGTTGTCCTTAACTGTACGATTCACACGAGCAGATTCTGATGGTTGAGGACTTCCTTCTGTTTCCAAACTTCTACGATGTCTCGGTATGTAAACTGCACGATCTGGCCTTCTCTGACGAGAAGTTCTTAATAAAAAAAAAAAATATGTATTTATAATTTATTTTTTGAATTATGAGAAACAGAAGAAAATATAAATATTTTTCTTACTTTGTAGCAAACGAATCGGCAGATGTTTGTATCTGAACTTGGTCCACACTTGTTTGAAGTTCATTTCTGGCCCTCCTAGCAGCTGGTGGCCTGTAGATCTCAACTGTTGGCGTTGATTTGACTAAAAATTCAAATGATAATTTCAATTAATTTTGTACAATGTTTCTTTTAATAAAAACTTATTATATTATTTCTTGATTACCTTGTCTTTGAACTCGTACGCATTCTGGAGATGCGGAAGGCGATCGTTGGCCTTCGACACCCATCTCGAACAACGTGTTAATATCTTTCGTTGTTGATTTACACTGTTCACCATTCAACTTCGGATCCCTTAAATTGAGAAATAAGAAATTACAACGGGTAATCATTTACAATTTCATTTTTAAATTGTACAACTCTTTGATACGTTTGAGCATTACGGCCACGCGACCTTGAGCCGGCAGTTTCACTTTCGTTTATTGCTGCTACGTCGTAAGAATTTCAGTCTTGTAAACATATTTTGTAACGGTATTAGACTTTTTTGTGAATTTTGCATAAATGTGATTCAATTTAGAATTCATTCTACTTTCGAACGAACCAAGAATTAAATATTAAATTTCAAACTGAAACGATATTAATCATATCAATTACGTTAAACTGATGGTATAAATAGGAATATTTTTTGACATAAAACAATTAAATTTGATGATCTATTTCATCGATATTATAACAATTAACAAATATAAATATAAATTACTCTGTAAAAGATACAATAACAATTTCTTTTTTAATTTGACACAAACACTGTGTATTTATTTACAATTTTTACAGAAATGATTGTAA